GACTAAAAAAAAAAAAAAAAAAGAAATACAATAACATTAGGGTTGTTTTGACCAGGGCAGTAGTTGCAGTAAATATGTGCTCTTATCAGAAACAATAGATAAACTGGAACCGTGGTTAATCAGAAGTCAATGTGGCAGATGGGCATCCAAGATGAAGTTGCTTTAGCCTCCACATACAGATGCCAGGTACACTGAGTCAAGATGCTACCCATTGACGGGAGTTGGGGGATAAAGAGTTAGTGTTAAGAGGTTAAGAGCAGCCGGGCTCGGTGGCTCAGCCTGTAATCCCGCGCTTTGGGAGGCTGAGGTGAGTGGATTGCCTTAGCCTGCGGGTTCGAGACCCACCTGGGCAACTTGGCGAGACCTCACCTCTACAATAAATAAAAAATTAGCTGGGCATGGTAGAGCGCGCCTGTAGTTCCAGCTACTTGGAAGGAGGCGGAAGGATCGCCGGAGCCCAGCGGGTCGAGACTGTGGTGGCAGGGAGTGGCCACTGCACTCCAGTCGGGCCACAGAGTGAGACTCCAACTCAAAAAACAAAACAAAACAAAAACAGGTTTAAAGCATACATTTTTGGGACACACGAGTTCATATCATCACACAGATTAGCTGCATGTCTTTACGAAGTTACTTTATTTCTCTTCACTCGAAATGTCCGTAAAATAGAGACAATGTTCTCATTGGATAAGGCCTGGGCCAAAGGAGTGGCCCGAGCCTGGTAGCAATGGCCAGCACAGTCACTGGCACTTACTTGTGAGCAACTCTCTTTCCTCAGTGAGGCCACTATCCTGCAGGGTCAAAGGTCACAAGTGTCCTCAGGTACCTTGTTTTTCATCCTGTTTGACTTCTCTGCAGCCTGTATGCATCTGGCCCCTTCCTTCTTGAAGTCGTCTGCTCTTTTATCTTTTCTGACTCGTCCTGTGTTTCTCTGCCCATTGCTTCTAGACCTCTTCTTTAACTTTTCCCCTCTCCTCCTAGATCTTGGTGTTCTCAGGACCCATCTTTAGTCTAGATTTCCTCACAACTTGGTCTTTCAAAGTGCTGGGATTGCCTGTGTAAACCACCATGCCCGGCCTATCCCTGGGTTTTTATTGGCTACCATGCACTTAGTCACCCAAGTGTGAAACTTGGGAATCATCTTACATTGGCCGCTTTTCTCCTCCTGCAGATTGCATCAGCGGCGTCTCCTCCTCTCCATCCCCCCTGTCATTGCCTCATCACATTGTGCTTTGAGGCTGCCTCCTAACTTGCCTCTGTGTCCACAGTGTGACCTGGTGTCAGTCCAACCTTCGCTGCCAAAGCCAGCTTTCTGATGAGGAAATCAGAATGTCACTGACCCCTCAGTACGGACAGGTCTCAACTTAGGAAACCCTTGGTATCCTTTCCCACCAGGCCACTCTTGCAGTCTAGTCCTCTGCCAACTCATCTGCCCATTGACTCACAGCACCGTGACCGGGCTCACCCGGGGGCACACCTGCTTTCCACTTTGCATATGCTTTTCCTGCTGCCTGAAAATGAAGGATAATGGATATCAAATCTTTCAGTAGCACACTGTGTAGAATGTATGGCGTTGTTTCAAGCCTTACATGAGTATTTTCCCCGCAAGACGGAGATTTCCTCAGACCAGGAATCTTGTCTTGTTGATCTTTGGTCCCAGAACCCACCACGGTGGGGGAGACACGGTGGGTGCCCAAGGCACGGGATATACGATCAGAAACAATTTCTTTATTCAGAGGGGGCCCTCTGCCTCCGCCTCTGACTTGACTGGTATTTTAGGGACCGGCTTCCTCCGGGCTTTGGCGCGACTCTGTTCCCCAGCAGCGCAGGTGAAGGGCGGCGGGTGGGTGGGGGCCGGCGGGCCGGCCTGGGTGGCTGCCTGCGCGCCTGCGCCCTCGGCCGCTCCTCTCGGGCGCGTCTCTGCGCGCGTGTGTCTGTTTGGAGAGGAGGAGAGGCTCGGGTGAGAGGCGAGGGGTGGGGGGAAGAGTTCAGCCCGAGTCACAGTCTCATTCACTGATCGATTTCTCGGCGGCCGGGCAGAGGTCGCCTCCCCAAGAGGCTCCCAACTATCCCCGTCCCTAACAGTTCCCACCTCCCGCCGCGCCACTCAGCCACGCGGACCGACGGACACACTCGCTAGTGAGTAGCGGCGGCTGTGCGCCGAGCTGTCGCCGGCGGTCCTGTCCTCCCAAGGGCTGTGTGTGTGTGTGTGTGTGTGTGTGTGTGTGTGTGCGCGTGCGCGCGCGCAGGGGATGTCCCTGGGATTCCACGCCTGCTCCGAGAGCTCCCTGCCGGGATCCGTGTGTCCATCGGAGTCTGCGCCGCGGTGAGGGTGCTCGCCCAGGCGGGGGCTCGGACGACCCCCGCGCGGGGAGGGATTCTGCCGGGATTCCCCGGCTCCGCGACGCAGCGGCTGCTGGGCTTCCCCGGGAAGGCGCCCGGGCGAGCCGGCGGCGGGGAAGCCCAGGCTTGTGAGCGGCTGGCAGGCCGGGAATCTGGGAACCCGGCTGGCCCTTTCGGCCTTACCCCTTCCTCCTTTCTCTTCTCAGCAGCATCACAAAGGCGCGCCGCAGGATGCAACCCCGTGCAGCGGAGTCCGGCTCTTTCTCACCTGGTGCATAACCCTCCCGGCCGGAGAAGTGGAGTTGGGGGGTCCCCAAGATTAGGGGCGGGGACTCACCCCGGGGCACACCTGTTTTCGACCCCCCCCCGAATCCAAGCCGGGTGTGGGATGGCGAGAGCGGCCCCAACGCGTGCACACCGGATGCGCGCGCGCGCACGCGTGTGTGTGGCCGCGCCCGCACCCCGGGCCCACGCTCGCCGCGTGCGCTCAGCAAACAGCACGCTTCCCCGCGCGTTCGCCCGCCCGCGAGTGCCCAGCGGGCTCCGTGGACTCCCCGCGCTCTCGGGGACAGCGTGCCCGTGTCTCTTTGTCTGGTGGCGGCTTCCCTCGCCCTCCGCAATCAAACTGATTTTCGCTTTCCCTTGATACCGCGCGCCGCGACTTAGTGTGGGCCACAGCCTCGAATGCCCCTGGTATTTGTAATTGAATAGTTCTTCCGGGCAGGGAGTTATTTTTAGTGTTGGGAATAAAGAGGCGAGCACGTTGACCTTTTTGCTGCTGCCTTTGGCTTTGAATGCGCGTCTCCGATGGAGCGGACAGATTCGCATCTAGTCGCGCACACGTGCCAGGGCACCAGTGTGCACACACATTTCTACACTCTAGGTCCCCCTCCTAGCCCCTTTCCTTTTTTTTTTTCCCCCTTACATTGAGACAATATATTGTGTGTCTGTATCACACACACACACACACACACAAACAAAAAAACCCAAAAAACTTTGCTTTGTTCTTTTGGGCATTTTCCATTTTGAGTCGTGGAGTGGGAGTACCAAACGGTTGCAGTCAGTTCGCGCGGATAAAAGACGCCGCCTCTGGATCAGAGCGGCCAGGGGGATCATCATTAGCACACGCGAGCAAAGGCACGGTTTAAGGCAGAAGGGGCGGGGCGGGCCAGGTCCGCGTCTCCGCCGCCCGCCTGCG